TTTCAGCATGCAGGCATCAAACAATAAATAGCTAAATCTAGAACAAATTTCTTTAACAGCCAAGGGAAAAGTTTAAAGTCACTTATAAATAGAAAAGAGTGTCTCCCCACAACCGCTCCCCATTGTTCAGGAGCCTTCCTGGGGAGCACAGCCTGTTGCAGAGGAAGGCTGGGTCCAAATGGTCCCCATTCTCCAGCCAGCTTCCCTCCTCACGCCGCACTGGGCTTTGAATCCAACTGCTTCTAGCAGCAGCTGGTGCGGAGGCTTCAAGCTCCCTCCACAGAGAGAGGTGACAACCATTTCGAATTTTACACATAAATGGTGGAGCCCATGGAAATCAAATGCTGAATATGGTACAGCAAGGGAAAAGGTCCGGCTTTTCTCTCCCTTTGAGGGGCTGATTAACGCTGACATTAATCCACAATTACAAGACATGGACTAGATCACAGGTTCGTTCATTCATATTTAAACCATGTGCTACTTGCACTGAAAATCCCATCCCCGCCCCCGCCCCCTCGTCCTTCATGTCCAGTGAGCACATTTACAAGGTGCAGTGGGTTTTATTCACATCTCTCAATGGAATTTTTCTCTTTTCTTACTCTTCATTATATGTGACTTCTCTGAAGTAGAAATCTCGTATTGTCTTGCCAAGCGACAGGGAGCTAAAATAGAAGAAAAAAAAAAGAGAAGAGGCATGTAAGATTTGCACAACATCATAAAGGGAAGATTTTTGTTAGTGGACTTAAAATTAGTTTGCTTGTTTTTAATTAAACTCAGGGCACGTGCACATATGCGTGCAGATAGATGGTTGGTCCTGTAAAAACAATGATGCTCAGAGGACTTCCACTTTTTTCCCTCCACATTGCATGCTCAAATTCACAGCTGCATGTCTAGTAGCTGTTATGAGCTACCATTGGTTGCACCCATCATCCTAAGAGGATAAATCCCTACATGGCTAACCAAAGTCACCATCATGTGGGTCAAAGAAAGGAGGGGTGCCTCTGCAAGCAAACTCTCCTTGGACCACTTCTCATCAAGAATTCCAACTGAGATGTATGTGCCACACAGATGGCAGACACAGTAATGCTTCTTTAAAGGCATCTCTGCTATTCTTTATGGCAGAAAAATCAGTCCCGCTTCCTTTCTACATGACTTTCCCATGACAACATACCAGGTTTCAGCAGCCCAAGGCTGAAGTGTCTTCTCGAGTTCCTAAATTCCCCACTCAGGAAATGAGGCTATGGTGGACCAGGGGTGGTCTCCACACAGGTCTATCAACAAGAGCTCTGATAGAAGCTAAAACCACATGGCTACCAGGTCTGCACTTTCACCCAACACTACCCACACTCTGCCCATTTGTCTCCTCCTGATTTGAAAGAAAGAAATTTTGCAGAGAACTTGTGTCTTTAAAACACATACGGTAATCTGCTCCCGGAGTTTAAGATTCTGCATCCCTGGTGAGATAACCTCAAGTACAAAGGGAACCCAGGAGGGGAGACTCACTGCTTGCACTGGATTCTTCACAAGCCTGATTCATTTCATGAGCCTTTCCTTTTGGCTGTTTCATAACAGTGACTCAAGCTTTCAAGGCATTCCTTAGACTATGGTGTCATCCCTCCCACCCTGCCTGCCTTGTAACATACATGTCAACATTACACTGAAGGAATGTATCACGAGATGACATCAAAGTGCAAGCTCCTGCATATTCAAAGCAGGGAGAGCAAGGAAAACCTACAAGAGAAGAAACAAAGCAAGGAAAACCCAAGTGCTGGCAGGCTGAGGTCACACGGAGTCATGAAAATGGAGGAGAATCAAGTCATTCCTTACTTGTCCCTCCCACCCACTAATAAAGCAGCAGGAGAGAGTTAATAGCTCCTCATCTGTGGATGAGCTTTCAGACTTGGGAGAGCTCTGGGTTACTACCATATTAACTCAGTCAGCATATATGTATTTGGAGACCAAAGGAGTTGGTCTCTGGGAGGTCTCTGCAGCTTACCACTGGCATCGACAATGCATCTCTTTTAAGTTACTTCATCCAGCGCAAATGTTTTACCACTATCTTCTGGGCAGTAAACTTTAGATATATAAACCAACTTGCTCCCTCTCGGAAACAGAAGGAGTGGCTTTGATCAGGCACTTCCACTGCCCTTAACAAGCTGTGAACCCGGCCCTGTCAGATTCTGTTTATATGCTCTGCTCTTCACTGGCCACGCCAAGGGCAGAGCGGATGTTGTTTCACATATAACCTCACACTTTATTAGGTCTGTGTGATTAGGTTCAGATACTTAAGATGGGATAGATTCAAATGTTTACTCACATTTGCTAACGCAACTAGGGTGTGTATGGGGGGGAGGGGAAGGGCACCAAAACCGAAGCTGAGAGTGAAACAGTGCACAGTAATCTTGTTTTCCCACCATAAACAATACTAATTCCACTGTTGTATCTCAGGGCAAATCCCAGTCTGAACTGAAGGGGGAGGAGGGGGATGTGGCGAAAAGTCAGAGTGCTGACTGATAAGCCAGGCTCTGAGTTATCTTCCGTTCATCTTTTCTCCTTAACCAACTCTGAACTGAGACAGACCTCCCTGTTGTGGACCGTCAAGTGGGAACCAACTCAGGTGACCCTCCAGCAGGAGCTCAGAGGCTATAAACTGCACAGGAGGAGACTGCTCATCCTTCTCCCAGGGAACAGCTGGTGGATTTGAACCACGTGCCTTTGGGTTGGCAGCACAACTCTTTAGGGGAACAATAATCCAAATTATTCATTGGACAGAGGAATATGAAGTGAGAGAAGAAATAAAAACAGTCTGGAGACCACAGTTTAGTACTACGACACACCTTCTACTTTCTGCCTGAATTTCCTTACCTCACTCGAAGGTGGCCAGCTGGTCTACCAGTCACCAATTTAATGCACCTGCCACCGTCATTGGCAGTTTTTATGGTTCTCCTATGCAAATACACTCAGTTCTGGCCTAACACCCAACTTCATGTGCTGTTAATTGACGCTTTTGCTTAGGAGGTTCTTTAAACCTGCTCTAGGGGGTGAATCATGCACTCATCTCACAAACAAAATTACCACTTTCCATGCAATTGTTTACTCAGGATTACAGGGAGAGTAGCAATAAGGCTGCAAAAACCAGTTTGATGTGTGACGCTGTTAGCGTAGTCACTCCCCAGAGGACGGGGTTAACTGCTCTTGTTCCTTTGAAGGGGGTCTCAAACCAAGAAAACATTTGCTAACCATAATAGGCTAGAGGAGGTGACTGAGGACATGAAAAATATATGAAGATTAATTTTGAAAGAGCTCCGCCGATTTTCAAGGCGCTTTCAAATGAGCTGAAAAGATGGGGAAAGGAAGAGCAAACGAGATGAAACCCCTCTCACTTAGCCTAACCGCCCTGAGATCTTTCTCGCTCCTGCCTTCTCCTTCAAAGGTGAGAGGTGGACCAGGGAGCCGGCACAGTGTTTCCAGCACCAAGTTCGCTGCCAATCACGGGGCCTCCAAGGCCGAGTTTTTATAAGACCATGGATCACCCAAATCAACATGTCTGTGTACTCTGCCACATTTGTACACGCTTAAGCGATTCCTGGGGCAGATGCTACGAATGCCTCCCAGCAGCTGAGTGGCCATTAAGCTGGGTGTCTGGCCAAGAACAGTGACCTGTGCAAGCCTATTAATTATTTGAGTCAAGAGTATTATATGCTCTTAAGCACAAAAGACCACCATTATGTCCTCGGATATATGACACAGAAACACAACTTTTGTTAGCCCCACAATAGGGGCAGCCAGGCCGATTAACCCTGAAAGGCTGCAGTTGGGGCACTAATAGTGTCTGTGTGTATCTGAATATCAGACACATTGATTCAAGGCAAGTACAACCTTTTACAAGTTCAGATCTAGAGTCCACTCTAAAATTAACAAATGTCCTAAACATGAGGGCTCTTCTTCTATTAAAAAAAACACCAAACCAACAAAACCACAAATCTAGATTGACTTAACAAATGAAATTTGGAGAGAGTAAATTAGGAATGAACACATACAAAGGTTTCATTTTTATTTTTATTTTATTCCTTCACACACAACTGTTTCATTTTTACTTCATTCCTTTGAGAACAAATGGTTACAAACTAGTGTACCAACTCCAAGGTTAGCAGTTCCAACTCTCCTTAAGGTACCTCAAAACAAAGGCCTGGGTTTCAGAGGCTTGGAAATCCTACAGAGCACAGATCTACTTTGACATCCAAGAGGCCACCAAGGCTCAGGGCAAACTCAACTACAACTGGTTTGTGTGGGTTTTTGCTGCTTTGTTTTTCATTTCAAAAAGGACTGAGATGCCTAAGTGTATCTAGAAAGTACTTCTTGGGATGACACCAACAGGAAGGTCAAGTTTATTTAAATGGCAGTTTGGATGCTGATCAAATGCTTACCTTCATGAGTCGGACTGCCTGGGTTCAAATCTTATCACCTCTGCTGTGGACCATGCTCTATGACCTTGGGAAATGTACCTGTATCTGGGTTCACATCAGGCTTTTCCCCATCCATACAATAGGGCCAGTAGTAATCTTTCGCAAGGTTGTGGTGAGGGTTGAATGAGAGGACTCATGTGAACACTTGGCACAGTTCCACGCATAGCAACGACTGAATTAACACTGGCCGGGGTGGGGTGGGGAATGCATTAGAATCACCTGGCAAGTTTGTAAAAATATGGGTGCCTAGAACTTTCCCAAACCAAATACTAACATATCTCTGAAATAGGCAGTCTTTGGAAGATCTTGAAGGCAGAGAACCACAGGCTTACATTATGGATAGAGGAGTTACCACTGTGCTTAACAGAAGCACTATTTTTTTTTTTTAACAGAAGCACTTTTGTTGTAGGGTGCACGGTCTTTAATTTTTATCGTTTTTAAGAGTGCTACTGTGGTTAAGGCTCCACAGCCATGCCTCATGCCACACGACCAGATTAATTCTATGCATACCTCCCTCGAGAGACTTACCTCATTCCACTTATGATGCCCTGTGCTTAAGACGGCAAATGTTTCCAGGTGCTGACGAAAGCCGTAGGAATCAACGAGTACGGCACGGTGGTTATGCTGTTCCACACGTCTAACGTGGGGTCGTAGCAGTCCAGAGTCTTGCATCGCTGGATGCCGAAGTACCCTCCGACCACGTAGAGTTTGTTTCCGGAGGCCACAGCGTGGCAGCTCATGCGCTTGGCGGTCACGTCTCCCACCTTGGTCCACTGGTAAGTCTCACTGTTGAATTTATAGGCAGAGCAGGCGGAGAACTCCGTATCTCCCCCCATGATGAAGATCTGGTTCCCCAGCACAGCTGCCGCCGTGTAGCGCCAGGGCTGAGGGCAGGTGGCTGGCACCGTCCACCTGTTCTCACACTGATCGTAACACTGGACCTTGGGGAGTTTGTCATGACTGACACTGGTACCTCCGAAAGCGAACAGCTTGAGTTTGGCACTCACCACCGCCGCGTTGCTAACGCCTTCTCGGAGTGGGGCCACCATGGTCCATTTGTTGGTTGTGGGGTCATACTGTTCTACTTGCTTTAGGGAGACTGAGGGGGAGGCTGGGAGGCAGCCGGTTGCAGCCGTGTGGCCCCCAACCACATAAAGGCAGTGCTTAAGCTCGGCAGAGCCATGGCCAAACCTGGCCACCAGCATAGGGGCAGCTTTGGACCACTCCTCATGCAGGGTATCATACACCCAGACATCTTTCGAGACTCCATTTTCAGACCCCCGCCCCCCTGTGATGTACACTTTGCAGCCAATCGCACATGCACTAAACTCCTTCCTCGGGCTGGGGATGTCAGCCTTGGGGATGATTTCCTTGGCCTTCTGGTCGACCAGGTACAGTTTGTCACACATGAAAGTCTGTCCACCCAGCAGGAAGAGTGCATGGCCAGTTTTGCGAGGCCGGGCGCACAGGCTGGTTACCACCCCATCATTCTGCAGGATTTTCAATTTGCACCTGATGGCTTCTTCCACGATCTCCTTGCTCTTTCTCTGCTTGGTGATGAGCTCCTCCATGGCCACATTCTCCATGAGATAGATGGCAGGCAGGAGCGCCAGCCGCACGGTCTGCAACAGCTCAGGCAGGTAGCAGTAGCGTTTCTTCAAGTCGTAGCTGATCCAGTTAATTGCAGACTCGTACACAAGTCTTTCATCTTCTGTTTCCAGCTCTTCACTGGACAAAAGCTGCACCACCATGTCCTGGGGCAGCTGGAGGAAATCTTCATTCTTCCGGATGGTCTGGAAGTTGCTGAGACACATTCTCCAGGAGAGTTCATACAGCTTGGTGCACTGGTGCGCGTCAGACAGCAGCAGCATGCCCAGGCAGTTGGTGGGATGCAGATTCTTCTCCAGGAACTCTGCGCACGCGTCCCGGATGTCTTGAAACTCCAGCATGTCGCCTGCTTCCAGGAGCGACTCTGCGTTTTCTTCATTGATGATGACCCGGGAGGAGTATGCATAGTCCAGCAGCAGCTCCAAGACTTCCGGGTGGATGGAGTTGTCAAAGTTGACCTCGCTGTCCTGGCTCTCTTTCAGGCCGCCGCTGAACATGGCTTCAAAGTAGCGGCTGCAGGCAGCCAGCACGGCCCGGTGGCAAGGGAAGGTGCGGTTCCCGGCGTGGAGGAGGACATCGGTGAAGAGGCGCTGCTGGCGCAGCAGGTTCAGGTGCGTGAGGACGCTGTCGGCATAGGAGGACTTGTGGAACAGGTAGATGTTAATGGAGCCAGTGCTGGCCCTGGACTTGCGGTTCTCGTGCACACTGACTGACATCTTGCTTCCACTCCTGAAAAACGAAACAAAACCAAAGCATTGAACGTGACGTGATGCTCCTGGTGTTCAGGACAGCAGAACAAAAAGCAAACAATCGTTCTGGCCAAAGTAAACAGAAACCTTCACTGGTAAGCCCTGCTGCCTACTGTGCTGAAGAGAATTCGGCCATTCCAGGGTGAAGCTAGACAATTACCTATACGGAAAGGCATTTATTATGATACTGGGGAGTTATTTGAATTATATACTGTCAAAGAAAAAAAAAAGGCACTGCTCAGAGCAGGTTCATCTTGGCAAACCTGATGGCCAGCTTTCAGGATATAGAAGTCCTTAAGAATGTCAGTCAGCAAAAATGAGGAGGGGAGGGTCCCGTTCTCACACCACCCTTCCCTGGCACAGCTGATTCACTGCAGGTCACTTAAAATGCCAGGCCTCCTGCTCTCATAACGCCAGGATGGGCACCTGCTTTCATGCCCTATGCAGCATAAAGTCATGTGTAAAACGAACACCTACTAATTAATTCCATTAAGAATTCCTTTGGTAAGAGCCAGTCTGCCCATGTGTTCAGGTGATGGGAAATGCAAGGCTGAGATCACAGGTTTAGGCCACTTCTGCAATGATCAGATCTTCCTTTAAAAGTTTCAGATCATTTCTAATCTCACAGTTTTACCCCTCAGAGCCCTGGAAGAACCGACTTTATACAAGACTATACACAGGTAAGCCAGCTTCAGTGAAAAACAGACCAGAGAGTGGCCCCAGTCTCCACTGATCTTTCCTGCTCTGCACAGCTTTCAAAATGAAGGTCTAGGCGTGCAAACGCGCGCGCGCACACACACACACACTCACACACACACAAGGACTGTTTGGAGAAACATATTAATGGGTGCTGCTTTACAAGTCTTCCTGCTTTATTTCCATTCTTGGAAAACCAGTTGCAAGAACAAAGGATGCATCAACCTCTCTCCTTTGATTAGAGGGTGCATCACCAGAGCTGTTCTTATATACCGGCAAATGCTGCACATGGGGATGTCAACACTCAAACACTGCTTTGTTTAAATGCACACATCTATATACCTTTATGTCTGTCCACAATGTATTCTGCCAAATGCATTTGTTAACTGAGGACCACTCCATAATTTATTTTCTGGCTAAACTGCTTCAGGTGTGTTCCTTAGTAACAAAAATAAAATCCTGGCAAAATTCAGTGCTATCTTTTTACTTTCATTAGGTTTTTTTGGTGTTGTTTATTTTTTGATTTTTTTAAAAAAGGCAGGATGAAAATATTGCAACTGCTACCCACCTTTGAACCGCATGTCTTCTTTATACTATCTCTCTGCTTATGTGCTGCACTGCTAGCTGAAAGGTCGACAATTGAATCCACCAGGTGCTCTTTGGGAAACAGAGGGATTATCTCTTTCTTTAAAAAAATTTGCCATTTCAGAATCCCAATGGAGGGAAGGTCATGATAAGGAGGCACTGACATGTAATCACATTTGTGGTCTCTGTTACTCCAAAGGGCAAAACCGCTCAAGATTCTTCCAGTTAAAGCATGTTATTTACCTCAGTAGGCTAACTGTATGGATACAGTATCTGTTCCAGACTCAAACTGGGAGTCCTCACAGAGAGCTAAAACTGACAGTCTCCAGTGCTTTTCAGCACCCAGGTGTTTACTGTTTCATTTCCAATCTAGACATGTTAATAAATGCAAATAAGTGATTATCCACAAATCCATGTGCTTCTCTATGCTTCTAAACTGTACTTCTCTGGCCCAGTCTTGGCAGACACAGAAAACAACAAAACAGGCAAGCTACATGTCTCTGGCATGCTGCCACATACCATTAAATGATGCAACTTATTTTCTTTTATTTTTAGACTGTAACTTCTCCTTATAAGTAAACACAGTTTCTAGAAAAAGATAAACAAGAAGATCCTCAGGGCTCTGTTGTTGGGAAAGCACTACAAAGCACACAGGCAGACATCTATCTCCACAGTGGCTTGGGGAGGGGGGGCAGAAAAATGGTTAAGAGTCAAACATGATCCCCATCTCGAGCGAACGCTCCACTGCTTAGTTCATTTTGCTCTACCTCTTCCTTGGAGACAAACATCATAATTGGAAAGGTGGAGGGTCAGCAAAAGACAGGAAGACTCTCAACCAGTGACCACTACAATGGGATCTTGGTGCATTAGGAAATTTGACAATGGCACAGAATACTGCTCAGATCTGTTGTTTATAGAGTTGCTATGGGTCATACTTGACATGACAGCACCTACAAAAACATGCTATACCACAGTACTTGCCATCTTACTACATTCAAATAGATAAGACATTGACAAACATTTTAAGCCTAAACTGAAAAACACTGTACCAAATACAGTCCTGTGCCAAATACAGAAACTCTCACAAATGGAAATGAGTAGCTATGCACAGCTAATGCTTCATAAACTGCATCCTGTCAGGCTGAGAGCAAAGGCAGCTCTCACAAAAGAATGGGGCTTTGCTGCAGCCAGGTGCACAAGCACCAAAGTGCATGCACAACTGAGCTGGCTTCACCTGGGGTTGGGTGCCAGAACACTGTAGGTTTGGGGTGAGGAAAAGCAACATCATAATCAGATCTACCCTTAAGAGTTTGTTTAGAAGCCCTGTGTTTAAAGTAAGAACCATCTGCTTCTTGAGCTGTCCTGTACTTATGCCCCTGTATTTCCCAGGTTTACATAAAGGCAGAAGCCCCTCGCCTGTCATCCTGGCTACCACCCAGACCAAAGGGCATGCCACAATTGAAATCTAACAGTCTTGCAATGATGTTTGATTAAAAGAAAAGGCAAACGGTAGACCAAAAGAAGCAATAGCTTTCTGCCTTCAAAACAATGAAAACATAAGCAGAGAACATTAACATGGTCACTAAACAAACCTCAACATGAAAATAAATGGACCATCCTTCCGGTATGTCTAAGCCCCCGGAGAAATAATATTTGCATGCGGTTAAGAAAATGCACACATACACTTAGTGTAAGAAGAGGACTGAGAAAAAGGGCTGCTATTACCAACATCAAAGTGCTCCCGGTTACGGTTACTGTCGCTTCAGTTCACTTACAGCTCCTTACACACGCCCTCTACCTAATACTTAAAGTCCAGTCACTTCCCTCACCAGTACTGAATATAATCTCAAATCAAAGAAGAAACGAGGACGACATTCCCCGGGTATTTACTACTGATGACAAGAGAACATTATGAAGATCTTGGGTATGAGAAAAGAGTTTCCTCATACAGTCCGCAATGCTCTTTAACACGCTGGCCATGCCAGTGAGGATATCACCCAATTGCAAGTTGAACAAGTTCAATGTTTCACCTCCACCCCGCCCACCAATCCCAGCCTTTGAAATTAATAGTTAGACCGAAGGCAAAATACTTGCATGGGAACAAACTAGTTTTTCCGAAACCAATTTACCTCCACTCCATACAGAACATATTCGGTGCCTGTGCGTGGCCCGAACCCCCCACCCCAACCCGGTACAGTGCAACGAGGGCCACCAAGCGCTGGGCTCCAGAGGCTGCAAGGCGCGAGGCAGCGCGACGTCCACGCGCAGGGGAGCGTGGCTTTCAGCGAAAATGAGGGCTATTCTTGTCTCGGTCCCCCATCCCTATTGCTGACCCTCCCCTGAGCCACCGAGGGGAGCTCTGCTGGCCCCTCGGGCGATGCCCAGCATTCGCTTCCTGTGGAGGGGCAGAGGAGGGCACCCAGGTCTCTGCACCAGGAAGGGCTTCCCTAACGTAGTACTCACGGTTCCAGGGTGCAAGCACACCCCTCCCAAACACACCCCCGCAACCTGAGCAGCCCTTGCAAAGCCCTCAGCTCCCGCAACAGGTCCGAAGCCGGAGGAGGAAACTTACAGCGGTGGCGAGTGGCCTCCGCGCTCAGCCGGCTGGTTCTGGCCTTGGCGACCCGGCAGGGAGGTGGCGAAGTGGGCGTCTCAGCCCCGGGGAGCTGCAGGGACTGCGGAAGGAGCGCGCATGGGGCGTCCGCCGAGGAGAGGACTGCGCCGGGGGGGGGCGCTGGCTAGCGGGGCTGGCCACCGCTGGCCGTTCGCCTCAACCTCACGGTCCCCGAGCCGCGGACGCTGTGACCACAGCCCGCGGAGCGTCTCCCCGAGCGAGTCCCGGGAGGGTAGAGTGAGCCTGCGGCGGCGGCCGCCCGGAAGAAGGCGGGCTGTGTGCTCGGGGGAGGGAGCTAGAAAGTGCCGTGCGCGCCGGCGACCGCCTGGCGTCTGAGCTCGCTCGCTGACTCGCTCGGCCTCCGCGGCGCCGCCGGGATCCGGCTCCTCTCCGGCAGCCCGAGCAGTCTGCGCCGGGGCGCTGTGCGCTCGGTTATAAGGCGCGCGGCGGCGGCGAGGGGCGGGGAAAGGCGGGGAGCCGGAGGGGGCGCGGATGCAGAAAGAGTGACACTCTGCGAGGGGAGGAAGCGCATTTATGCTGCCGGTGGAGGAGGAGGAGGAGGAGGAAAGGAACTGGGGAAGAGCGTGTCGGGGAGTTAATCGGGAGAGGAAGTGGCGAGGGGGGAAGGGGGCTGCGGAGAAGTGGGGAAAGACAAAGCGGACGCAGTGTCTCCCTCACTGGCAGCTGCAAACCCTCGGGGACTGCGAATAAAGCAACTTTTTTTTTCGCGTCGGAGTGTCTGTGCCACTCTGGCCCCAGCTGGGTTAATGGTTAGCCCCGAGTTGTGGGACCCACTACAGGAAACTTGTGCTGTTTAGCACGGCAGGAACCGGCGGCGCAAGTGCCGGGTGTCCACGGCACGCGCCCTAGGCGCGCACTGCCCACTCATTCATTGGTCAGGGGACCCAGAGTGGGGACGGTGATGAGAGAAGGGGCTCAAGTTTGGACATTCCGGGCACCCTACATGTTAGCCTAGACGAGATTTAAAGGTTCCCCGCTGTTAGGGGGGCGGACAGAGACTAGCGTTTCCCTTGGGTCCTGCCTGCCCACCCCCGGCCGGCCGCACACCCTGAGCCGGA